TTTTTGTGATGGAGTCTGGGCTCTGTCACCCAGGATGGAGTGCAGTGGCACAATCTCGGCTCACTGCAACCTCTGCCTCCTAGGTTCAAGCGATTCTCATGCCTCAGCCTCCCAAGTAGCTGGGATTACAGGTGTGCACCACCACGCCTAGATAATTTTTTTTGTATTGTTAGGAGAGACAAGGTTTCACCTTGTTGGCCAGGCTGGTCTCAAACTCCTGACCTAAGTAATGCACCTGCCTCGGCCTCCCAAAGTGCTGAGATTACAGGCCTGAGCCACCGCACTTGGCCTTAATCTTATATTCTAAATATTTATACCAGCCAATTAAGAAAACCCACTGACGTGATTAAAATGCTGGGGAATTATTTAGTGATAATGATTGCATATCTTTGTAAATACGCCAGAAACCAGTGAATTGTACAGTATAATAGGGTGAATCTTAGGACATATGAATTTTATCTAAATAAAAAAATCAAGGCTGGGCACGATGGCTCATGCCTGTAATCCCAGTACTTTGGGAGTGCAAGGCAGGCAGATCATGAGGTCAGGAGATCAAGACCATCCTGGCCAACATGGTGAAACCCTGTCTTTACTAAAAATACAAAAATTAGCTGGGTGTGGTGGCACCTGCCTGTAATCCAAGCTACTTGGGGGACTCTGATATGAGAATCACTTGAACTTGGGAGGTCAAGGTTGCAATGACCGGAGATTGTGCCACTGAACTCAAGCCTGGCAACAGGGCGAGACTCCATGTCAAAAATAATAATAATAATAATCCAGGCCAGGCGCAGTGGCTCATGCCTGTAATCCCAGCAATTTGGGAGGCCAAAGCTGGAGGATCACTTGAGCCCAGGAGTTCCAGACAAACCTGGGCAACATAGAGAGACGCCATCTCTACAGAAAATACGAAATTAGCCTGGTGCAGTGGCTTATGCCTGTAATCACAGCTACTAGGGAGACTGAGGTGGAAGGACCACTTGAGCCTAGAAGGTTGAGGCTGCAGTGAGCCGTGATCGAGCTGCAAGCCTGGGCAACAGAGGAGACCCTGTCTCAAAAATAAAAATAAATAAAATCCATTGTCAATAGAATAACAATATGTTTCATCGTCAGAAACATTTATTGGAAGTAGAAACGTCACAAAAAATAAAACGTTTATTAATAAAAATAATATAGTTAACAATTATTGGCAGCAGCCGATCAAGTTTTAACTTTAGTTTTCACACGATCCAATAAGGTAGATACTGTAATTCCCACTTTTCAGGTGAGAAAACAGTTCTAGAAAGATTGACTAACATGCCCAAGATTCTACAGCTAGTAAGTAGCAGAGCGGGGATTCATAGTCAAGTATGAGCATACTCTTTTTGTTTTTAAAGCTTTATTGAGATTGAATTTATGTACTATAAAATTCACCAGTTGTAAGCCGGGCACAGTGACTCACATCTGTAAGGCCAGCACTTTGGAAGGCTGAGGCAGGTATATCACCTGAGGTCAAGAGTTTGAGACCAGCTTGACCAACATGGTGAAACCCCATCTCTATTAAAAATACAAAAATTAGCTGGGCGTGGTGGTAGGCACCGGAAATCCCAGTTACTCGGGACTCAGGAGGTTAAAGCAGGAGAAGCGCTTGAACCTAGGAGGCGGAGGTTGCAGTGAGCTGAGCTGAGATCGCGC